AACTTTAGCTGAGAAAAAGCCAAGATGCAATATTTTGGTTACCATTTGCATACAAAAAAAATAAAGGTAATGAAAAGGAGAGGGACACACACACATTATGTGTATATATTCACAGAACATCTCTAGAATGATACTCAACTTGATGACATGGTTGCTTCTAATGAAAAGACTGAGGAACAGAGGTGAGAGAGAGACTGCATTATGTACTTTCTCACATCTGTTGAGTTGTGTAACTTCAAAATGCAAAATTAATTCATGCAAATAAATGAATAAAATTTTTGAAACAAAATAAATGGCTATTGGTAACATTCTAGAAGAAAGCAAAATCATTCTCTAGGATGCTAAATATCTTCATCTTTAGAAAAAAACATTCCCTCATACAAATCCACAAACTTGTATACCCAAGGATAAATAAAAGCATCAATATTCTTAAATAAATTCTCAACTTTCTAATAATTACATAATCAAGGCCAAACTTCTATACAGCAGCAAATGGACATTCAAATTTTCCTCCAAATAACTGAAAGAAATTATAGTGTCATACAGTAATCAAAAGGGGGAAAGATATGAACAATTTCAGTTTTAACACATTTTCCTCGTGCCCCTTCGTAGAATCTAATTTTAGCAAGAGACATTTAACACATAATTAATAAATGTATATATAAAAAGGTATAAAATTAGCTTTCATATCACAGTCTCAAAAATAATTAATGTAATCTATTTAGTTAACAACAAGGAATAAAAACTCCATAAATAACCATCTAAGAGTACAAATGTTATTTTATGGAGGAGTGAATAAATAAAGCTTCTTAAGGCAAATTGCTAATTATTGTATAGTCTGGCATACAATAAAATGGGTTGTGATAAGCACAAAATATCACTAACTACAATCACAAATTTTTGATCTTCAAAGGCAAATTGTGTTCAGGCTCCAAAATTCTAAAATTCTGTATGTGGTATGGTTATACAGAAAAATAATGAAGAAAAATAAATTTAGTTTCAGTGAATAAAGACATACAAGGCAACTACAGTGATGCAGTTATAAGGAAGACTAAATATAATGAGTTTAGAATGATGACTAGCTAATTCTTCTACCTTTATATCCATGTGCTACTAAGATATTAACAATAGGTCCCCAGAATTAACTTAATGAAATGTAAAACATTTCTTCAACTAGTAACTTAGCTGAACTCATATCTAGTGATGTTTCAATATGTTAATCCTTTTGAAAATTCTTATTTAATACCATAAGCAGGTAATGCCTCTTAAATTTGTATATGTTTAAATAATGTATACTTATTATATATTTATGCATATTTATTATATATAATTGTTATGTACAAATATGTATGCATACAAGTAGAAACATGTCTACATATACATACATCTACATAATTTATACACACATGGACTCCACTGAGCAAATAAAAGAACACAGTAAGTAAAAAGAGAAATAGTATTTTGACCAAATCAGCATCTCACTAGTTTGTACCATAATATTTTCATCAAATAAAATTTGTTACCATTATAATCTTTGAAAAATTCTGACATTTCTAAGTAGCTGGAAGACTGAAAAATTTTATAATACATAAGCAAAAATGAAATACTAAAATATATTTCTATAAAATTTTTTTTCATTTACAGTTATAAAACTAAAGTAAATCAAATGCTTAAATAAAAACTCTCCATTAATGATTCAGAGGTCCTTCTGGATAATAAAAATAGTTTTATACTAAATATTATACTAGGTAAGAAAAATTTAAGTGCTATCATTTATTTTTCTTAGTGCCTTCAATTTCGTGTCTCTATCATTTTTTCATTGGCACATCTTGAGAAACTGGTGTGCACAGTGGAGCAAATTTTTCTTTGTGGCAAGAAATTATTCCTGATAAATTTAAATGAAAGTATTTCTGTATAGACAGAGGTCAAATGTGAAAGACAGTGAAGGTAATTATCCTGAGAACCAGAGTAGGAAACCTTGCTAGCCAGGAATTGAGGAAAGGTGTTAGGTTGGTGTTGTTCTCAAATACTCAAACTTAACTAGTTGTACATCAACTGAATTCATTGACTTTATGTTCCACTTGCTATAGGCTCTTATGAAACAGCACAAATGACTATTTCCCAGTCAGGAATTCTAGCCAGAGTATAGACTACCCCCACACAGTCACTTGCACCACGCAGGCTATGGGCGAGAGGTTGAACACTAAAGACCAGCTGGAAAAACAATTTATATAGCACAGTTAGACTCAGTGTTTGGTAGGAAATGGCTTGAGCTTTAACCAGCAGTTGTTAAAGATTGTGCTCATATACATTCTTTGTAGGGTTCTACAGTGAATGAAAATAAACAAATTCCCTTTAATGATACATATCTACAAAAAAACCTTGAGTTCTAGGAGTTTAAACAACCAAGAAGCTTCAAACTTTTTATCATTTGGCAAGAGGAGGATGCTAGAAATTCTTAAATTCTTAAAGGAATTCTTAAATTTTATGGTACTAAAACTTTGTTAATTTTACTATAGTTACAGATGTGAAACTGTACACAGAATCACCAACTTATGTGAATGAAGCAGATGAAGATCTACAGCAGGATTAAGAGGGGGATCTAAGTCAAATATAAATTTTGGTAATAAATGCAAACACTAGCAGATAATGTATTTAGGTAATAAACATTGTACATGCTTTGACGAGGGCACATTATGATTTTGTCATGTAAAAGTTATCTTTTTGTTTAACTTTTATGCTCTTTTTGCTAACAAGGAAATTTTCTTGTAGAAAATAAAATAACCTATCCTTAACACAACCTTACATACTAATGGTTTCTAAAGAGTGTACATTAATATGTACAACTGACACTATGAATTGGTGAGGTTCCCCCAAAGTTTGCCACTATTCTCAGTTGTTAGAATTCAATTATTTTATTTTATTTTAAGTGTTAGCTTAATTTACCAATTACTAAAAAATCACATCAAATTTGTGTAATGGATAACTTAAGGAGTAATGCCATTCTTCACACTCTACACAGAAGGCTAAAAAAAAAAAGCAAACTATAAAATTTACACTATTAATGTTTGCACCTGTATTTATACAGTCTGTAATAATTACTTTAGTTAACTCAATGATAGCACTAATACATTTAATAAACCCATATCCAGTTGATAAGGATGTTTAACAGGTAGCCAGAAATCAGTGTGAAGGTATGTAGGAATGCGTGGAGAAGGTGAAACAGGACAGGGATGGGGGATGGGAGATGGAGAGAGGGTGGATGAAATGGAGTAGGAAAGGACTCTTTCTCCCAATTGTTCAGTTTTCCTAAGGCCTTGGTAAGTGGCAAATACTTCTGTTTCCACTGAAAATGACTTTCTGTATGGCTTTCATCAGAAGTACTGTGAAATACTGGCACCTGATCAACTTCTTTTCCTTTTATGGTTATTTTGACATCTAAAACATTTTACAATTCCTTTGTAAATATTGTGATTTTAAAGCCAGGAGGAAATTAGGAAATCATTTAGTCTAACTAATCCCTTATTTTATTGATGGGAAGCTGAGGTAGTTTCTAATCTACATAAATATACTGGTATGACTAAAAGGTTTAGAAATGCTGTATTTAGTGTTATTAAAAATGAGAGACAAATACACACAAGAAATGCTTCAAAAACACACACAAAAATTATTAAAAAAGGAACTCTCCACTCATAATGTCTAGTCATCTGTTCTGATGTTAGTAGGAAATAGTGAATTAAAAATGAAGGATTTTAAAAAATGGATTAGGGAAAAGGTGCTAAATGATGCAAGTATGAGCACACATAATCATTACAAACAGGAAAAGTATATGCAACATACTTACCAAGTATATATCTTGAAGAAAATCCACAAAATGAAAAATATGAGCCTCTCATATTATTTTGTACTAAATTTATTTCTACTGTTAATTCATTATAAGAACAAACTATATGGTAAGATTATTAAAAAGGTGCATACAATTAATTCAAATCTCCAAACCCCTTTTACATGAAACATCTAGAAAACTGATGCTACTGCTACTTTAACTAGATGTTTCTAAGTGATTATTCTGGAAAATGAGACAGAGTTCAATGATCTCAAATTCTACACAACCTTTTATTACCATTTATATGATATCATTTCTCAACACATTATAATATCTTGTGTCAAAATAAGAATTTTTATTAAAATTTAAGTATTTGAAAACTCAAGTATATAGGTGTGTTTCTAAGATACTATTTGCCAGTATCATCTTATTGATATGATCAGAGCCAACCCAAATGTTTTGCATTGAAATCACCTAGATCAGTGTTTCCCAAAGAGTCTCTCCGGTAAAATGCAAAATGACTTCTTTTATGGCAAATGGGTAAACATTCAAAATGTTAGTATTTAAATATGGATTTAATATACATTTGAAAAAATTACATGTGATTTTCTGTTTTAAAAGCTAATCAATTAAAAAATATTAAGTAAATAAATAGTAAAACTGGTATGTGAATATTGCCAAACTTAAATGTCTAAGGTTTGGGAAATGCTGCCCTTTATAAGGTAACTTCTCTGGCAAAGAACTAGCACAAATATAACTGTTGAAAGAAAATTCCAAACTAAATTATATTTTATTTTCTATATTACTTCTTGGTTTTTGTCTCATAAAAGGCCAGTGTAAATCAGCATAGTATAAAAGTGATTTCTTTCAGGAGAAATTTAAACTATTTTATGGAATTTCACTGAGGAAAATCTATTAAAAACAGGATTAATGAGTAAGAATCATCTTTCTTACTTCCCATTATCAATAAAAACTTCTTAATTCACATAGTTGAGGGGCACAGATCAGTAGCGTTCTGCTTAATACTACATGTACTACATTCTGGATAATACCAAAGTTCTAAGACTGCTCAACACACTCTTGCCCAATCTGTATTGTTTTTCCCCCTACAGAGGAAAATGTACAATAGAGAAGCTAAACTACCAAGAAGCTAAACAAAAACTCGAATACTTACCGTTGCAGGAGAGGCCCGAGTGGTATGTGTCACTGAGTGACCGGAATTCTCCATTGAATTGCCAATCAGATAGGTCCCTCCAGAGCTGCTGATCAGCTGTCCTCCTGTGACGCCCATCTGGATCCCACCAGTGCCCACCATACTATGGGATGAGACCACGGTAGTCACCTGTGCAGAACTCCCTTGAGTGTCAAAGTAATTCCCTCCAGTGTTTTGGCTGTACATCTGTGTTTCTGTGTAAGGGTAAGTAGTTGTTCGGCTTTAGAAAAAGAAGAAAAACAGGAGAAATTTACTAGCTTATTTGTATCAGCTTATTTAATTTTTTCTAGCATGAATATATTTAAAAGATGTCAGTTAGCTTAGCCTTTGGAACATGGGAAGTTCTGTACCATGTATCAAGCTTCATGCCCAGAAATAGTTGGGCATACTTTTGAACTTGAAGGTACATTTCTTCAGTAAGTACCTCCACACTTCTCTGTACTTCAGAGCTTTTGCCCTCTACTGGTGCCTGCCTCTGGCATAGAAAGGTCTCTTCTCTCAAAGAAATATTATGGAGAGACTTCTTCAATTTCTTATAAAACTTCCTATAAACCCCAGTTTTAGAAAAGCTGGACTCTAGAATGACAGAAGGCTGACCAGACGACTCCTCATGCTGCTGCACATTCCTAGGTGGCTCACAGTAAGTCTCCAAGACCAAGGCAGCTTGCACAGATCTCCTTCTTGCCACCATGAGGATCTGAGGAGAACAGCTCACTTACTTTGGACTCTCCCTATCCATATCTTTTTCTCTTTTTTCACACCCAATTTTCTCCTTGATGGGATGACTATGCCACCTCTTCATGTTCTCACTTTTGCACTGCCCAACAAATGCAGTCAAGATTCTGCCCTTAGCTCCTCACTGAAATTGTTTTTAATAAGGTCACTTGTGACCAAATCCAAATACCAAGCTAAAAGGCTGCTGCAGTTCTTATTTTTTTTGACGTATCTGCAGTGTAACACTGCTGACCACTCCATGTTGCCCTTTCTCTTCTTTTTCTGTTCTGATTAAACAGCTTATTTGATTGATTGATTTTTTAAATTTCCTATAACTTACACTTTAACATGACTATTGTTTTACTTTTTATTTTGAAATAATTCTAAGCTCAAAAGAGTTACAAAAATGGTACAGAAAGGTATGAAATACTTTTATTTTAAAAATTCAAATATTAAGTTAAAATCCCCAGTGCTTTTGTCCTTTTCCTCAACCCCACATTACAGAGCTAGCCACTGCTGACAATCCAGTGTGTGTTTTCAGACATTTTCTATGTATATATGAGGTCTCTTTGTCTTAACCTCTCTTGTTCCTTAGTTTCTATGACATTTCTTTTCCATGTTTTACTTTTTTCACCACTACCTTTCAAGAACCTTTCGGAGTCTCCTTTTTCTGGCAATATGTGTTGGCACTTTCCAAGGTCTCCACTTTTAAGTATTTTTAAAAAATTTATTCAGACCACATACCTTTACTGTATACTGTATAACCATATACATGCTCATAGTGAACAACCTCACATAGACGGGTATTTCTACTCTTTTTACTTTCTAGTTATACTCCAAGAATTTTAAATCTGTTAAAAAACAGCTACCTGGTTATCTCTACTGGGAAACCCCATGATATTTGGAAGGTCCATATGTAAAATTTAACATACGACTAGAAAGAAATTTCTCATCTCTCTTTTTGTTTTCCTATATTCTCCTTAGTGGAGGGTACCACCACCACCCTCAACTTTGAAAATTATTGCTGACTCTCTCCTCTCTCAAACTGACATCTGTCACTAAGTCCTACTAATTTTACCTTCTAAATAATTCTCCAGTTCTTCCTATCCTTGTGCTCACTGCCTTAACTTGTAATATGCTCTATTATAATTTCCTTCTAGTTGGTTTTCCTTACTCTAACTGGATTCTCTTCCAATCTATCTTCAACTTTTCTGCCAAAAGAATTTTTCTAAAATACAAATATGAAAATAAAACTTTTCTTAAAAACCTCTCCGTGATTCTCTCTTGCCTTCAGAAGAAATTCAAAACTCCTGACCTGCCTTGCAAGAAGCAGGGCCAGTGCATACATGATCTCTGGACTTGGTGCTAGCAATGTCCTCAGATGCTTTCTTAATCACACCACACTGACCTTTTCACTGGTCCCTCCAAAGTGCCATTTTCTCTTTCCTCCCTGCTTTGCTGCATATGGTTTCCTCTGCCTGGAAGGTCTTCACATATTTCTTCAACTCCTTTCCTTTGTTTTAGTCATCTATAAACTCTCAGCTCAAGCATCACCTTATCTCAGAATTATTTTTCTGTACCCTATGGCCACTCCTCACATGCTTGTTAAGTTTTGTTCTCTGTACTTTCCTAAATCCCCTATGCCTGCCTAAAATACAGCTCTTGACACACTTGTTAATTTTCTCATGTCTTCCTACTCCCATGAAATTGTTTTATTCCCATCTGTACCCTCAATACTTAACATAGTTGCCAGTACATAGTAAGCATACTAGTCAACAAATAAAAATGTGATTCTATTTAAAAGTATATTGTACTTTTAATAGGCAGTTTCATAAATTGCTAAAATATAAATCCTTTTATGTTTTGTTAAAAATTGAGAAATTATATAAACTATTCTGAGATTATTTTTGTATTATTTAAAATGAATCATTTTAACCTATTATAAATGATCATTTATAATGTAAATTTTTGTAAAATAATAAGAGCACTTCAAAAGTATTCCACACTGTGGTATATAATTTATACCATAGATCCAGGTATAAATTTTAGTTTGGGTGATGACAGAAACAACTCCACAGAGAACATTTCTTTTTTATAAATAGAAAAATGCCATCTAAAATACATACATAGTTCTCATCATTGCCGACTATCCCAATTGGAAATCTCATTTATATGTATCTTTCATTACATATTAATTTAATAAAAATAACCCAACCATGTTGATTTCAAATTTAGGTAAAAAGAGAAATTAGGTCATTTTAATTTATGTTCACAAAATACGATAGTGACCCTATTTAACTGTACTTTTAAAATAACACAATCTGATGTTGGTATTTAAGTATAGCCAAGTAAGGTATACAAATAAATATAGGACAATAAATACTCTGACAAACATAGGACATGGTAATGGCTTTCCTTTTCACAAAATGATTAAGTTCATGCAAAATGATTAAGCATGCTCTCCAGTACTGAGTCAATTTCACACCTGAAACATATAGTAATAGCTAATGACAGCTAATATTTACTAACCATATACTATGCAAAAGGCACTATTTTATATACTTTACAGGTACTAACTCATTTAATCTTCATTACATTCTCTGAGATAAGTACTATTACAATTTCTATTTTATAACTAAGGTGAATAAATGAAGTTTGGATAGGTTAAATAGCTTTGTCCAAAGAACACAGCTGATTAAAAAAAAAAAAAGGATTTGGAATCAGCACGTAGCCCATACTCTCAACCATTTTGTCACAAAAAAAGAAGTTGTCAATGGTATTTGTGAATGACTATTGCAACATAGCTCTAGAAGTTTGTACAGGGAACATATAAGCCTTCTGTTGTCATTTGGGATTTGCTTATACCTTCATTGCAATTTATAAGCACTACACTACTTTCCTTTCTTACCCAGAATAAGATCTACAGAAGATGTGATAGCTATAGTAAAAGAAAGAAAGAAAAGACTGGACTATTTCAAAGGATACTTAATACCACACACTTGGATTTTAGAAGCTGCATAATGACAGAAGTCATTATCATAAGAGAAACATTCCAAGAGATTTTAATCACTCTATCTGTAGGGCATGCCTCCTTTATATACTTAGTTCTCAGGGAATAAAATGAATGCAAGCAAATGCATCACAGATACATAACATCTGTATTTCTTGCTCTTAGGTCAGCATGAAAATATGGCAGCAAAAAAAAATCTACTTTGATTTTCATACTTCCCTCTAGTTGGAGACAATTCAATAGCTAGAAAATCAGCAAAGAAGAAGAAAAGTATGAAAGTCACTAAAGAGTATGCCTAATCAATAAACTACCCTCATTACTCAATTATGACCATGGGATTGAAGAGAAGGCTTGGCTACTACATAAACACACTTTAGGGTAAAGATTGGCAATTTCTAGAGGAAAAAAACACAATTTTATTAGAAAATGAAGTGTTATGAATTGTTTCTGAATTTGTCTCTGTTGTGCAATGGGAATTAGAGAAGACTTTTAAACAGTGGACTGGGTAATAAGAGGCAGAGCATAGTATCCTTAGTCATTCTTTAAAAGCAAGAAGATAAGCATTTAGCCCATTTGGTGGAGTCCTGCTTGGAGCAAGAGCTGGAGTCAGGCACAGATAACTGTTAAAGGTCTCTTCCGTGTCTAAGTGCTCTAAGGTCCTGTATAAATATTGAAGAATTTGTAAAGCATAAACATAAAAAACAAACAGTTCTATTTTTACTATTAAAAATAATCACTGTAATTCTAATACCTCATATCAACTTGTCTTTCATATTGTATAATGAATACATTTTCCCCCACAAGTGTCCAAAACATGTTTGAGAAGATTACTCAATATTTGGCATACCAAATTGAAAGTAGCTAACTATTTCTAGACTGTTGATTCCTGAAACAGCTAAATTCCCAAGCAATTCTTTGCACATTTGAAAAATGCTGCTGTTTCTTTTGTTTGTTCTTTATTGACCTCCAGACTGTTATGAAAATAACGTGTCATATCTTTCTATAGCAAGAGAAATCTTCCCATTGTCTTGCCTATGTATCCAGTACTGAATGTAAATACATAAATACATGCATACTTCTGACAGAAGCTTCTTCATAGTTGACTCTTTCATGAGGTTCTATGTAAACGTCAGGACTCTGATTCACTGAATTCAGTGAATTAGTGGTGTTTGCATCCCATCATGCCTTAGCATATACCCTGGCTAAGCATGACGCTGATGTTCCCTGCTTGCTTATTCACTAGAATGATTATGTCAATTTACCTTAGCTATAACCAATTTTCTGTTTTCTTTAGCTTCAGGTGTTTTAGCCACAAGCCAGATATATAATATCTCCAAATTATGTGTTTTGAATTTTTACACAGGTTTTGAATATCTGCCCACCAGTAGCTAGTCAACTATAAAATCAAGCAATGGTATGAAAGTGTTAAACTGAAATAAAATCTTAAATTTTACACCATAAAATTTGGCATGAAGATGGAAATTGCAATGTTGATC